ATGGCCGGTCTGGTTGCAATGAAAGCAAACCGTGAATCCCTTGGGGCAGTCCCTCGCATAATGCCCCTCCTTCCCACACTTATAACACACCCCAGCTCTGCATGTCCCCTCGTGGCTCTTGCCGCACTTTCCACAAGTGCGGCCCTTCGGACCCCCAGATCTCGAATCAGCGGGCTTTGCCCGCTTGGCTGCCGGCTGAGACTGTGCCGGTCGCCGATCCACCCTCTGAGACTCGGCCTCCTCCCTGGCCTGCGTCTCCAGCTCAATCTCCCTCTTCCGGGCATTTGCCTGGAGCTCAGCAAATGTCCGATAAGTCGAGTTCGACACGAACTCCCGTATATCCCTCCTCAAAACACCCAAGTACCGGCTCATACGTGCCTGCTCAGTAGACACCTGCTCAGGCAGAACATCGCCCTCTCATGAAACTTTCGGGTAACCACAGTAACCGAATCAATACCCTATTTGAGGGTCAAGAACTCCTGAGCCAATCGCTCCCTCTCCACCGGAGGAACATACTCATCTCGAAACATCGTGGTGAACCTCTCCCAGGTCACCGCAGTCAGCTCTGCAGTAGTGAAGTCTGCCGTCACAAACTTCCACCAGTCCTTCGCTCCCAAGCGAAGCTGGTTCAGCGCAAACCGAACCCTCAGATGCTCTGGACACGAGCAGGTATAGAAACAACCCTCAACATCGGTAATCCATCTCATAGCAGCAATCGGATCCTGCGTCCCATCAAACTCTGGTGGCTTCGTGTTGCTGAACTCTCTGTACAGCAACGAGTCACCCCCCTGCGGCCTGGCAGCAGCAACGGCTGCGGTGGCCGCAGCAACAGCTGCATCAGTAAGAGCGGCGTACCGCTCATCAAAAGCCTCCATCATCGTGGTCTTGATAGACCCGAACATCTCTGGAATCTCAGCGCGGATGGCAGCAGCCACCTCATCATGAATCATCTGGCGGAGCTCCTCATCGCTCACAACCCCCTCGCTAGTCCCTGGCCGGTGGCGCGTCCCAACCATGATGTCTCTCTGAAATACAACACAAGATATCAGAGACTCGCTCGAGTATACTCGCACTCGATAACTCAACCCTACTTGCTCCTTAGTACCCAATGGATTCTTACTTAGGGTGCACACTGCTCCGGTGTCTTCAGTAGTACGGGCCCTATACTACCGTCCACACCGCATCAGCATTCACTCTAAGTCCTCCTCCTTGGATTCCAGATCACAAGTACACTACATCTCACTGGCATAGGCTACCCTTCGGTAGGCCTCCCAACAGCTCCTCACTGCTACCTATTCGCTCTCAAGCATCATATAGCAGCAAAATCATTCCTAGGCTAAGGCATCACAGATCAGGCCACTCTAGTCCTAATATGATCACCTAGCCTACTCTAGCATGCATAATATCTCATAATATCTCATAACACATAAGGTAAGGGTATTTTGGGAAATCACCGTTCGGGCGCTGGCTGATCGTACACACTGCTTCCTTCTGCCTTTCTCAAAATCTTTTATTCTTTTAGAAAAATTGTTTATTTTATGAAAACTTACTCATCTCCTCAGTTTGAGTTCGGATTCATCCGAAGATGCACCCGAATCCCTCAAACCAAGGCTCTGATACCAACTTGTAACACCCAAATTTTCAAAACAATTTTTCATTTCAAAACATACTTTCCACCACATAAAAATCACAAAATCATAATAAATCTTTGTATCATCACAAAACATGTCCCAAGATCTCATATAAATAAATCCTCTCTCGTGTGTACGAATCATGCCGGCGCCTTCCCGCGATCCTCACTAGTACCTGAAACACATCACACAACAACTGTAAGCATAAAAGCTTAGTGAGTTCCCCAATATACCACATACAACACATACGCCACTCGAGGCTACAATACGACCCTCCGGTCCGATGTGTCTCAGCGGGACCCTCCAGTCCCGTAGCTCGTTGGACCCTCTGGTCCGGTCATAGCTCGTTGGACCCTTCGGTCCGGTCTGTATCGTTGGACCCTTCGGTCCGGTCTATATCGTTGGACCCTTCGGTCCGGTCTATATCGTTGGACCCTTCGGTCCGGTCTATATCGTTGGACCCTTCGGTCCGATCTATACAAAACATAGCTTACATATAACACAATGCACATAATCTCATACATACACATAGCATACAAGACCTTCTGGTCTACACATAAATACCACTCTAGGTAATGTATAGTGAGAAGACTCACCTCGGATGTCTCGGATAATATCCCGCCCGTGTATATACTGATCTAGCCTCTGCCTATACACATAACATAATCATCTCAATCAATCACGACTCTCTAGGCTAGACTAGACTCTCACATGTCCTCTAAGAAGGCTAAAAGGCTATTTTACCCTTCAAACAGTCCACAAGTTCCATTGTTGACCAAACCCAAAAAGTCAACAAAAGTCAACGGTCAACCCTTGACCAGACTCGCCGAGTGCACAAATGTGACTCGGCGAGTTCAGTCGTGAACTCGAGTCCTCTATCCCCCTTCTGACTCACTGAGTCATTCCCCCAATTCGGCAAGTCACTCACTGTGTGATTCACGGGAAACCCTAACCCTACTCGCCGAGTCTGTCCTTGGACTCGGCGAGTTCATGTCATGCACAAACTCAATTGACCTCCTGAGGTCAGATCTGTTCCTTAGAACCATAGATCTGACCTTCCCAAGCCTGATAATCACGTAAAGCTTGGATCTTGACACTCATGTGACGCCTAGGAGGCTTTACTTGGTGATTTAGCCCCAAAAACAACAACCTGAGCTCATTGCCTCCATAGCTCAACATAAAGCAAGCTGGAATAAGCTCTTTAGACCACTATGGGTCCAGATCCGAAGTCTCAAAGTGAATAGGGGCCATATTCTCACAACTCCTTCCAATAAAAGACATAAAAACTCTACATCTATGGATTCCTTCAACAAAACAGATAAAGGGGCGACATAATACCTCAAAGATGAAGTCTTTTGCTCGAAATCCCCAGATGCACAACCTCCTTGGTCCCCTCCAAGCTGGAATCACCTCCTTCTTGTAAGAATCAATCACAAAGATCAAGAAATGGCTCCTTTCCTCTCACAAACGCTCTAGCTCTTTTAGGGTTTCTCTCTGGGGTTTGGTAGCCGCAAGTGACGGCCCTAAGGGCCTTTAAATAGGTCCCAAACCCAAGAAATTAGGGTTTCATTAAACAGCGTGGACTCGCCGAGTCCAGTCATTAATCCAGTCCAAAAATGCGCGGCTCTACTCGGCGAGTCTAAGCGCCTACTTGCCGAGTCCCTCTCCAAAACTCAAAAATAATTAGATAAATACAGTACCTAGAAATCCGGATGTTACAGTTTTACTAAAAAAGAAGGTGTTGCATGGAAGAGGTGTAAACAATGCATTCCTGCAACAAGTTCAACATTGTTAGAAGTTTAGTAGCTTTAGCAGTCAAGGTAAATTGGAAGGTTCAACAATTTGATGTAAACAATCATTCCTGCATAGAAAATTTCATGAAGAGTTGTATATGAAAATACCACCTAGAATGGATAATTCACCTTCTAATTTTGTGTGCAAGTTAAAGAAATCATTATATGGCTTGAAGCAAGCATTAAGACATTGGTATGAAAAGTTGTCAACTACTCTTATCACCAAAGTTTATCACAAATCTTCAAATGACCTTACATTGTTTATAAAGAAAAATGAATCTTCCATCAACATAGTTCTAATATATGTTGATGATGTATTAGTAAGTTGTAACAATAATGAAGATATGACTGCTCTAACGGTATTTTTAGATAATCAGTTCAAGATTAAAGATCTTGGCACTAGTAATTTCTTTTTGGGTTTGGAATTCATTAGTAATCCTAATGGAAGACATTCATCAAGGAGTTGCTGAAATCTTACTTGCCTTAAGATCGAAAATCTGTTTCATCACCATTGCCTACTAAGTTAAAAGATTTATATTTCAAATTCGAGTTGTTATCTGATCCAACAAGTTATAGACAACTTGTGGGGAAATCAAATTTTTTGTTGCATACTCATCCATATATAGCATTTACAACTCAGTTTCTATGTCAGTTCAACAGTAGTCCATGTAAAAGTCATATGGATGCCACAATTCATGTTCTCAAATATTTAAAAGGTGTAATTTTTCAAGGATTTTTTTATCAACAATAAACAAGATTTTGAAGTTGAAGCTATTTGTGATTCTGACTTAGTTGCATGTCTAAAAACTAGAAGATCTATGAGTGGCTTCTTTATCACTATGGGAGGTAGTCCCATATCTTGGAAATCAAAGATGCAAACAACTATGTCCTTATCTTCTGGAGAAGCAGAATACAGAATCTAAACTTGCATGGTTTAGCAGATTATTAAAGGAGTTTGAAGCTCCTGATATTGATCCAATTCCTTTAAAATGTGATAATAAGATTGCAATTTACATAACCAAGAATCCTGTTTTCACGAAAGAACTAAGCATATAGAACTTGATTGCCATTTTGTTAGGGAAAAGCTTCAAGATGGTCTTATCACTTTGTCCTGTATATATCGACCAAAGATCAACCAACAAATGTGTTAAAAAAGTCTCTATCAAGATCTGATCATTGATCATATACAGGGTGCATCCAAGCTTGGTCTCACTACATGTCCACCAACTTGATGGGGTATTGGAGTATAAAGTCAACACTTCAATTGTTAGAAGTTTTTCGCATCATCAATCTTTATAGTTGTGTTACTTAGTTAGTTAGAAGATATTTTCAATTTTGTTCATGTATATATGTCATCCTAGTAATGTTATGAAATAACAACGAAAATTCCCTCAATCAATTATTTCTCTCAATTGTTCTTTCCTTCCCTTTCAACAAAGTGTAGTATTGTTATGATCTAGAAGTAGCTTTGAAACAATAGCCTAAACAAAGAGGAAATATCACATTTATTTCATAAATTAAAAGATGTATACCGATACAAGATGTATTACCAAAAATTACAAGATATACTAATATTGAACACTAGTTTTTCGTCGGACATCAATCATAGAAAGAGTCTTTAAATCCCTAAATTGGTCACCATTTTTCTCGTTCGATGGGTCTTATCAAACCATAGCTTAATTACCTTTCCACGAAGATAATGGAGGAGTCTCTGAGTTTAACCAGGTCATCTGCATGAACGCACTCCTTTCACCCTTTACCATGTCACTTGAAGCAATAAATTCCAGTTCTGCCATATCGTCTGGTGTTAGCTTTACAGACAAAGCTCCAATGTTTTGGTCGAAGTTCTCAAGTTTGGTGGTTCCTGCTATCGGAACCACGTCGCTTCCTTGATGATGTACCCATGCGAGTGCCAGCTGTGCGGGGGTGCATCCTTTGCTTGTTGCCATCTCATTCACTCGCTCAAAAACCGTCTTATTTTGCTCCATGTTCTGAAACCTTGGATAAAGCTGCAATAACATTAACATGAATCTAAGGTTGTATTCCTCTGTGTAAAGGATATAAATACACGTCATCCAACTTTCGGCTTGTGGTTTCAGTAAAACTCAACCATGCACGTTTCAAGTGATAACGCGATAAAAATGTACATATACGTACCTTCCTGAAGTATCCCTCTATCATGTTTTCGACCACCTTAGGGCCGACTGCCAAGAATCCCCTCCCAATAGGACTGTAAGGAACAATCCCAATGCCAAGTTCTCTGCAAAAGAGAAAATACGAATCAACATCAATCAAAGTAATTAAATTAATGTAGATATAGATTGTGTTATACTCAGATAACCCTAAAAGAACATGAAAACCACAAAAGATCACCTGCAAGTAGGAACAATTTCATCCTCCAAATCTCTTGTCCATATAGACCATTCATTTTGTACTGCTGTAATTGGATGAACAGCATGAGCCCTTCTAATTGTCGAAGCAGATGCTTCTGATAATCCTACATACTTCACTTTGCCTTCCTCTACCAGTTTCTTGATCTCTCCCATCTTTTTAATGAAGTTTGTAACATATAAAAGTGTTAAGCACAGCTCAACCTTATCATGGCTATCATATATGATTAAAATTTCAAAAGCAACAAAACTAAGCAGTAGCAAACAAGTTATGAGAGCCATGGAAAATGGTATTCAAAACTAGACCACAAAGAAAGGAAAGAGAGACCAACCGTGACTTCGATTGGGACAGTAGTATCAATCCTATGAATATAGTAGAGATCAATATAATCAATATCAAGTCTTTTCAAGCTAGCTTCACAAGCTGATCGGACATAGGCTGGATCACCACAGACATCTGGCTTTCCATTGATCCATTGGATTCCAAATTTTGTAGCAATTTGAACTTTCTCTCTCAGTCCTCCTTTCAAAGCCTACACAACATTTCAGATTCTCTAAATTAAAACCATAATCGAAAACCCTAACAAAGAAATCAGATAGATTCATCTTTAATCAGAACACAGTTACTTACCTTCCCGATAAGGATTTCATTGGTGTGAGGGCCATAAAAGTCGGAAGTGTCAAGGAAGGTGACGCCAGAGTCAATGGAATGGTGGATGAGCTTGATCATATCGGCTTCGGGTTTTGGGAGTCCGTAGTTACCTGACATACCCATACATCCCAATCCCTGTGCTGATACAACTAAACCTTGTGAACCTAATTTTACTCTTGGAATAACTGACGCCATTGTTGTTAGTAGATGGTATTTGCTTGAATCCTAATGACTAATGAGCTTTAAATACTATCTGGGTTGTTTAAATTAAAGATCGCACAAGAGAAAGCTTAGTTTGATTCCTAAATCAACGAAAGGGAAGATGATGAAGTCAGTGCTGACCTCAGCGCATTGAGAACTGATTCAGTTTGTCTTAGGTATGTTTTGGCGGGACTGGTTCGCGGAATTTTCTTATATTTGTAATATTATATTTGAACCACCTCATTTTATTACATTTATATGAATTAATGTATCTTATATTTATTTTTAATGGGTTATATAACAGAAATTAAAATTTTAGCCATCAAGAAAATAGGTTACAACGTTTAAGGATGGTTAAGTGTTCGTAACTTTTTTTTTTCAAATAAAAAAACGTCCGTAACTTTTTATACTGTTTTATTAAAAAATTAATTTTTTATAAATATTAATTTTTAATTATATACCATTCTAAAGAAAAGATAATACAATTTTACAAACTGGTATATTTTTCTTGTTTGATTGATAATTATGAATGTTTTATAATGTTTGAAATCAACGGTTGTTTTTGGTCTTTTGGAGCATGCAATTTGCAATTTGTAATTTGTAAATAAATAATGTTACATATGGCTTTAGAGTTTTTGTATAATTAGGTATCCATGATACATTGAAAGAATTTAAAAAAAAAAAAAAAAAAAAAAAAAAAAAAAAAAAAAAAGACATAAGAAAAAAGTTAAGTACGGCTGCTCTTGCATTTTTATAATAAAAAAAGAATCTAAAAATTACAGGAGGAAATTCCCCCAATAATTTAATAATAAGTTCTCTGTTCTCAACTTGACTTAAAAGCCCATCCATCCAAGACTTACGTTTCATGCTTGCTTTCAATTATGCTAACCTTATATTAAACTTTCCATACAAATAACAACTATCAAACCCCACCAATACCATTCACCACACTAATTCCCATCCATGGAGTCATCTCAAATTCAAGCCCATAAACCACAACCTCCCTCCACTTCAATAACGTCAACCGAATCCATTGAAATATCCATCCAAAATCTCATCAAATCCTACAAAACAAGGCAAAAATGGGAGTTTTTCTCGGGATCAACCAAACAATCTTCCAACAACAAACCCCCATGGAGAAACCACTTAACAAGTTTTCTAGAATCAACCCCAGTTCACATAATCGCCATCATATTACTCCTTGCTGACCTTGTTATGGTAGTTCTCGAACTCTCAAAAACTTTGGTTTCTTGCCCTAAGAGCAAAAGAATAAACAAGAAAGTAGATGTGTGGTACCACTGGGTAGGAATTGGAATCTTGGTGATTCTTGCTACCAAAAGTGTGGCACTAGTGGTGGGGTGTGGGAGGTCATTTTTTAAACGCCCGGGGTTGGTGGCCGATGGCGTGGTTTTAATTGGGGCGTTGGTCTGTGAGGTTTTGATGGAAAGGGTGGGGATGGGGTTGATTGTTGTAGTGAGCTTGTGGCGGGTTTTGAGAGTTGTTGAGAGTGTCTTTGAGTTGAGTGATGCTGCTATTGAAGTGCAAATAACGAGTATATTGTGTCAGTTTGAGTTGCTTAAAGAAGAAAATGAAAAACTTAGAGGCATTGTAATCGAAAAGGAGAAGATTATAGAGCAATTGCAAGAAGAACTTGATAATCGAGTTTAGGCGAATGTTATAAGTATTACTAGATATCATAATGAGAATTTGATGAAGCCATAATTTAAGTGCATAAGTTTATTGATTCAAACACTTAGCTATTTTCGATATAGTGGTTAAATCCTTATAGTTTCGTACCCGTTAAAAAATATCATGTTCTCCGGTTATAGTTTTAAAAAATAGAAAATACATAAAAATAAAAGCACAATGTTTAAGGGTTTTCCTATCAGGGACGGTTTTGCTTGGTGCTCCGGTGTGGCATCGGCAACACCTACTTTTCCTGCAGTGAAATTTTTTTTGATTTTTTTACCTATTTTTCCTGCACCGGCAATACCTACTATGTATGCATGCGTCCGTCGTCCCTGTTTCCTATATATCTCCTTCTCAGTGAATTCATGACTCGGTACTACAAAAAATGTGTTGACCGATATTTGTTTCAGTTAAAGACATTTATGCCCCAAAATAAAAGAACAAACACGCCTACTCTCTAAAATGACGAACAGCTCCTTCCTCCTTCCTCATAATGATGAATCACTGTTTCAGGTTCTTCCCATCACCCACCATGTTTGTCGTTGGCGCCTCAAGTAGAGTCGCCAACCTCCTCTTCTCCTACCCTAACTGCAGTTGCCGGCCTTTTCAGGTACTTGAACTTCTTCATTTTACCTGTAAAAAACGGAAATTTGATGAAGGGGTTCTTTGATATATATATATATATATATATATATATATATATATATATATATATATATATATATATATATATATATATATATATATATATATTCTGATATATGGTAATTTCTTTGTTGTTTTCTGAAATCTGTTTTTTGGTTCGGAAATTAGATGCACTTATGTGTGAATTAAGCGTGAAACCATATGTGTGATATCATAAATCTGATGAAGGGGCTGTTGTACGTATGATCAGGTAATTTGTATGTTCTTTTCTCAAGTATCATATCCAATTTGTATAAATACCCCTACTCCCTTCTTATGATGATCCTTGGTGTAGGAGTGGATTTTGAATTTTATCTTGTATGAATGAATTAGAAGAAGAGTAATAATTTTGGAAAACTCTCAATGTCCTCTTTTTACATTACATTTACTGATTTACATACATACATTTGAAATTGGTTGTTGTAATATTATGAAATCGAGGCATATTGTAATTATAATTATATGATATTTGATGCAATTTGGTAACAATTAAAAAGTAGAAAGGAAAATTAGGAGTTCAAATTTTGATTTTTCATAATCTTTTCTAGATAATATGGAAATGGTAATGAAAGTACATCGTTATGTTTACATTTAGCAATATGTATATGAAGGAAAGTATGTTTTTATGTTTTCAACTTAACAATATGTACATGAAGGAAGTACATTGTTATGTTTTGCATTTAGCAAAATGGTATGTAACAATTATAAAAATTAATATGTAAAAACTAAATGAGAAACTGAAAAAGTAGAACTATGAAAATACATAACGTGGTTTAAACTTAACAAAAGGATAAAATTGTTATTTTCATCTTTCAGCATAGTCAGTCATATATAATCAAACAACATGGTTTTAGTCGGATGTAGACTTTGTCAAACATTAGACCTAATCAGGTTTGAATCAGTAGATCTGACTTAGTTAGATCCGGCTAAATTAACAACTATGAATCAACCCCCTAGTGAATTTATTTAACCATTGAATGATGATTTTTTATGATTATTATAACAATAATTTGGTGTCACATTTGATAAAAGAAAAATAATAGTGAAGTAGTTAAAACGATAAAATGGGAAATATATGTCATGCTTTTTCTATTTGCATTTTGCCCTAATATCAAAACCATGCAAATGGCAAACACATTTTTTTACCACTCAAGAAACATATAATGGTTAAATCACTAACTATGTAAAATGGTAAAAGTACAACTAATTTTTCGAAGTTTTCCGTTCTAGAATAACGTGAAGAAATTTCGCAAAATCTTTCTTTTCGAAAGTGTTATTTAATACGTCTAGTAACTGGGGGCATAATCATCTCTCTTGAGTTATGTTTCTTACCTAGGAGATTTTATTTGATCTTAGCAAAACAGAAGTACCAGGGGAGAAAATAGAAATATCGATAATGAATAGTATTAGGGAACCTTCCGATTAGAATTTGAAATCGACGAGGATAGGGAGGGTTTAGGGGTTTTTTTTTAGATCAAATTGCTTCTACTTGTACATGTAATGATCGATGACATAATTTCAAGTAGAGTATAACATATAGCTTAAGTCATGAGAGGTATATTAAGCCTAAACAATCACATGCAGAATGGGTATGGATCTTTGGAAATTCGAAGAATGACATAGCTGGACAAGGAAACATCATAGATGAAAGTATATGGATCAATGTGAAACCGAGAAAAAGAAATAAGGAATTGGTGGAGAAGATGTCAATATCAATTTATGTCAGTATTTTTCTTGCGACTATGGAAATTAGGAAAATTACGAAAGATATATGTTATTGTGGATACAAATTATGGCGTTTAGATAGCATGAATTGTTATCAAAATTAGGTAAGAGACTCACGTTTTTTAGATTTTTGAAGGTGGATGGTCTTATTAGGGTAGCAAGTGTAATGTCCCGAATTTCAAACATTTTTTTATTTTTAAAACCTAAGAAAAGCATACCAATTTCAATCTCAAAAGTAAACATCTAATAGTTTTGTTAACATAAAATTAGAGTTATAGGAATAAAGTTAAGAGTACGGAAAATATCTAACACATAACAGAAGATGCAATGCAATCACGATGCGAGAAGCACCTAAAAACATTTAAACTTAAGACCATAAGCACAAAGCTTAGTGAGTTCCCCAAAATACCACATACCATACAAGATAACAAGCCTAGTCCAACAGTTGTGTTTCAATTAAGATGGCCCAACAAGCATGTAATCATTCAAGAATGAGTCAGAAACACAATCAAGCATACCAGCAGCATGCATGCATTGACACCTAGTGTCCTACATAGTATAGTGAGAAGATTCACCTAAATCAAAAGTTGCATATCAACCGCTGTAAGTCTCATAACAATAGCTACATGAGTCTCCTAAACTGTGACAACCCGAAATTTCTATTCTGTACAACCATTCACTTCAATAGGAGTCAAAACTGTTTCTGCTAATTTTCAAGCTTTTTGGAATAAGTTTGAGTATTTTAAGATTAGTACTTCAGGAGATAATAGGAGAGAGGATTCCCTAGGGTTTATTGTGCAACAATAATGTCCCAAAACTCCAAGAGTTTGGAGTTTACGGCCTAAACAAAGGTGTTTACGTCCGTAAACCCTAAAAGAGGGTATAAATATGACACTTAGTCATTATTTATCACTTTTCACAATTTCAAGATCCAAAACTCAATTCTCTCTCAAGTATCATCGACTTTTCTTCTTGATCTTCAACATTGTAAGTGTTTCTAGCCCTAAAAAGTTGATATCTTACTTAATCTAGTGATCTAACATGATTCCATCCGTGAAATCATTCCAAAAGTGTAGATCTTCAAGTTTCACCAAGAACACCAAGAACACACACTAGTGTTCTTGGACTTTTAGCACCTTTTCAAGCTTCTACCTAGTAAGTACTTCTATCCTAGAGTATTATAGAGCTTGTTACACTTCTAAACATCAAGAAAACACCCAAGAAACCAAGGATCAAAGGTGTTTACGGTCCAAGATGTTCTTGGACCGCAAACCCCAAAAAGGGTGCCAAAGTGTGCCCTAGTCCCTTCTAAGCCTTGGAAACTAGCCTAGATCCCTTCCTTGATGTGATTAGTACTTGAAAACATCAAAAACCATAAACCATTTGGGTTTACGGCCATAAACCCAAAGAGAAATGGTCCAAGGACTGTAAACTCCTAAAAGGAGTGAAATGGTGCCCTAATCTCTTCCTAAGGCTTAAACATGAAGTAGGAATGCTCCTTGTGATCTTTAAGGCTTCAAAACACAAGATGGTCAAAGAAACATGAGTTTACGGCCGTAAACTCATGGGTTTACGACCGTAAACTCAATGAGTTATGGTCACAAAACCGTAAACTCCAATAAAGGGTTCCCTTGAACCCTAAACTCAATAGCAATGTCCTACAACACTTAGATGCAATCCTTAGGACTTATAGCACTTAAATAAGGTGTTTTACAAGTCCTAGGATGTCTTAACTTTGTTAATTAGTTGTTTAAAGACTAATTGGATACATATATGTGATATTATATGTTAACTAGGATCATCGTGTGTGTACAAGTCTTCACTTGACACCTAGCATCCTATACATTCCGTTCATCCAAACCACTCACTACAGGTGAGTTCATACCCCTTAATTAACCTTTTAAATGTTTTTAAATGCTTTTATGGGGGGGAATACAAGTTGAACTATTATAGTTATTATATCAATCACATGTGATTAATAACTACCAAACAAGTGGATTTCTTACTTTTCAAACTGTGTTATCAAACTGTTTTACTTCAAACTGTTTTACAAACTCTTTTACATGTCAAATACTTTTATTAAACTCTTTTAACTTATATTCTGTGTATCTATATGGATATAATTATATAAGTAGGATTGAAAGGACTTAGGACTGATAGCTCACCTTACTTCCTGTTCCTTGTTTGGTTGTGGACTTAGGGTATTTGGGTTATTTGTCCGAAGGTCGTTTGAATCCTAGTTATATATCATGTATATGTGTATAGATACAAAAGGTTACTTCTTTCATTCAGTTCAATGCCTTTGGGTAGCAAAGGTATAAAACATGTTCATATACACAAACAACATTACTAGTAAACTATAATAGGTATAGTTTAGGAAGATACTATTACTAGAACAATGAAACATACAATGAGTCAGTTCATTCATGAGTAATACATAGTGATGAGAAACAAACATAATACATAGTGATGAGAAACAAACATAATACATAGTGACGAGAAACAAACATAATACACAGTGATGAGAAACAAAACATACAAGCTAGACAGACAAAGAACACATAATACAG